AAAAAAAAAAAAAAAAAAAAAAAAAAAAAAAAACACATCATAGTAAAATTAATACCTTCTCCGCTTCGCATCGAAGCTAAAAATATGTTTACTTATATTTTTTTTTAAGTTTTGAATTACAATATCTCAGGTAATAACCCCACCTAGGGTTTCTGTAACGGTTAAACTATTTAAATAAAAGTTTTACATGTCAACTCACCAGGAGTCAGTAGACTCACGGCCTTTAAAAATCTAATTGTTGCAAAATAATATAAATATATATATATATAATTATAAATTATAATTATTAGTTATATTATATTATTAAATCTAATTTACTTCGCTTTAAGTGAAAAAAATCCACAAAGAATGTGTTAACGTTTATTTTTAATTAAATTCTTAAAAAAAAACAAAATAAAATTTAAATAAAAAAATGTATTTTTTTATTTTTAGGTTATCTTCAATTACTTTTTCCAATATCAATCTGTAACAAAGCTTTGAAAAATAAACTTGGCACAACTTGGCATATCATACTATAAAGATGTTAGTATATATTAATTTATGTAGTTTTAATTTTACTTTTCTTTTAATATAATCCTCTATAATGCATAGTGATTTTACAGTTGAAATATTGTATTTTAGTTAAATTACTCTAGTTTATTATGTAGAAAATCATTTTTATTACAAGAAGACATATATAATTTAACATTGACATTTGGATTATTATACTAACTAAAATATCACGCATTAAGATTGTACGAAACTTTTTTAAACAAACTATTTTATTTGACAAATTCGTATAATTTTGTGTTCTCCAGATATTTAGTTGGTTGATTAAGTAAGGAATAAATAAGTATGATGGAATATATCACACCATAGATTTATATTAACTTTCAATAAACTATTAAGTGGAACTATACGATTACTTCACTAGTCTATTTACATACCTGGTATTTGTTTTTTGTTAGATATTGAGTTCATTATATCAAAACGAACAGCAAAACTTAAATCTGGCTTCTCTCCATTAGCCTTAGCTCGGCGTCTGATTGATTTTCCAGACAACAAATCATGAACTGCATTATTGAATTGACTGAAAACAAAAATAAATGACTTTTGTCAAAATGCTAAATTTAAAGTATTTATTAATCTGTATAGATAGTTTGTATTATTGAGGTCTNAATGCTAAATTTAAAGTATTTATTAATCTGTATAGATAGTTTGTATTATTGAGGTCTAAGTAAAATAATATTTTATATATTATTAATATTTAATAATTTTACGATATATTTTTCATAAAATAGTAAGATTAGTTTTATTTAAATTAAATTTAATAATTTTTCTATTAACACAAACCAATAATTATGTCATTTTTCATTTTTAAATTCGGCTACCTTTATAATATTTAAAAATGTTTTTTTTATAACAAATTATTATTTTACAATGATGTATTACATATGACACATAAATCATTCACAGTCAGTTAATTTGTGATGAGTTATTTATAAGTTTTGAATAACTCATAAATTAACAAACAGGTACAAAATCATTCATTTCAAATTTTTACTTTTATCAATAAAAAACATAAGTTCGACTAAAAAATGATTCTATATTGAAATTCAATTATATGATTATTATTCAAATTAAAGTTATTTTATTGAATATAATTTTTGTTCTATTCATAGGTTCAAAAGGAATAAGATAAAATTCGAAATTGAACACTTTTAACAGTTACGTATCAATACATCTTTCATATTTTAAAAACGTGTTTACTTTGAAAATTATATTAGTAATGTTTAAATGTTACCAAAACTTTTTTTTACGTAAATTAGGATTTTAGTTTATTTTTAACATTTTGTCTAATATACAGTATGATTGTTACATATGCATTTCTTTTTATCTGTTATAAAATAATTATTAGGTTTATCTTTTATATCTTAAGGGGTGTTAACTTTATTTTAAATACATTAGGGCGGATCAAAAAAATCAATCTTCAAAATTTTAATGAGAACCATTTTAACTTTATAATATACATTAAAATAGGTATTTTGTGTAGATTTGAGATTTTTAAAACGTATATGTTGACCAAAAATACCCCCAAAAACGACCTCTAATATTATTTAATTTTTAGTCAAATATTATGATTAGAATATTAAAATAGTTTGATTATTACTGTAAAATACAAATTTTTTAGTTTCATAATTTTAAGTAGAAAATTGATCGCGAGGATATCTTAATTAGCATCATTATATGGAATATTTCTAGTAAGTCTCATTTAAGCTTAAAAATTAGAAAAAAAATTTTTTTATGCAGTTAGGATAATATTTATCTATATTATAAGTAAAAAAAAATTATTCACTTATCTTAAAAATGTATGTCTTTTTTTAAAAATAAAGTGTAAACTAAAATATGGTTTTCTTGGAAACATTTTTAAATGCCGATTGATCATTAAATGCATTATATCAAAAAAAATTACTTAAAGTTTCAATAAAAAACAAAATTATTTTGATTTGTTCATTTTTCAATAAGTTATGGCAATGTTTAGAAAAAGAATGTCTAAATTTTACCAATCTTAAAAATAGTAATTTTTTGGAGGATTTCCATCATTTAAGGTGAACGAGGGAAAAAATTAAAATTTTTGAGGTTAATGTTTTCAATTAGATACGATTTGTGATCTTTTGACGTACCTTTGAGAAAAATCGGTCCAGTGAGAACTGAGAAAAAGTAGTGACAGACACAAAAAAAAAACCCAACACATCATGATAAAATTAATACTTTCTCAGCTTCGCATCGAAGTTAAATATTTGAACAAAAAATTAGTATGTTTTTAACTACGGCAGCCATTTGCACATAGAAAATAGGTCGTAGAATAATTTTTTTTTTTTGAACTTATAGTACATAACATAAGCTTTATTTTCATATATGTTTGAAGCTCGGAATATTTCCAGAACATTTTCAAAACTTAAGTTGAAAAAGTTAAATTTTTGTTCTGAAATTACTGTTTTGAATTCTCTTCTAAGGGCAGGTTATAAATGTCAGATTTTCATAACATTTATATCAAATAAAAGGGAAATATCTAAGATTTCAGTAGAAAAAAAATTATTATAATTTGTTCATTTTTCAAAAAGTTATGTCATTTTAAGTAAAAAAATGTCAAAAATTTCTGATTTTTAAATTTGTAATTTTTTGGGGATTTCTCCCATTTGAAGGAAACGAGAGAATTATTTTCAATTTTCAAGGGTAATATTTTCAGTTAGATACAATTTGTGATCTTTTAACGTATCGTTGAACGAAATCGGTCCAGTGAGAGCTAAAAAAGTGTGGCGACAGACACAAAAAAAATAATAATAATAAAAAAACACATCAATAAAATTAATACCTTCTCAGGTTCGCTTGGAAGCTAAAAGTTTACTCTTGTAACTTCTGAAAAAATTGTTGACACTTATAAGTATGTATATGTACTGATTTAAATAACCTTATGTCATACGAAATATATAATCTAAATTATATTTTCTTTTTCATAACATTATTTTGGGAAGGATTTATAAATCCTTTTTGTCATGCTGTAGTAAAGTGTTAGATTATATTCCTCCGTAATGATTTATCTTCATTTTTTATGAACTATAATCGGGTTACACAATAAATTAAACTCATTTTATGTCCTCAAAACCTTTTCTTCCCTTGAAATTTCTCATGTTGAATTTATTGTTATTACTTATTATCGTTCAGCAACAGAACTATAAATTCACAGGTGCAAAACAATCTGGTTTAATTATTATGCTATCCCTCTAATGAAAAAAAAATACTCAAATGAACTGTACATATATCATAATCAAATATAAAATAACCTCAAAAGAATCAATTAGAACCGTAAATTCCTAATGAATAAAAATTTGAGTTTATAATTTTTATTTATAAAACATGGATCCACAAACTGTAGTCTGAGAAAAAAAATTGGATGCTGCCATTTGAAATTTTTTACGGGGATATTTTAATTTTTATCTTCAAATTTTTCATAACTATCACAACCAAAACAAAGAGTTAAATATTTATATTGAAATATATCTTTTAATAATATATTTTATCAAGCACATACACGAGTAATTTGACTTAATAATCTTTATACTACATTAATTTATTTCATAATAAAACATTTGATAAATTAACAATTTAATTTTACGGATACGGTTTGACTGGATTTATTAATTGATCAAATAAGTAACAAAAATAGAAAATTTATTATCAAATAAAAATTTAGCGACATTGAAAACCCTTTAAGTCTATTACCAATACCGTAAGTTTAAAAATCCTATTTTTACCTATGCTTTGTATTAACTTAAAGGTTACCTTACAGTGATAGAAAAACATATAATAATTTAAAAGTAAAAAATTTTTATTTCGTTTTTTTTTTACTTAAGTTTTTTTAAGCAGGATAGTTTAGTTAAATAAAGACTTTATTTTATATAAAAATATCCAGAATTAATAAATAAATAATAAGTATAAATATGAATATTTTTTTTATTCTACATAACAATTTTATTTTTAGTAAAAAAATATACCAATAGATTTGTTACATTTTAATTAAAATTTAAAAATAACTGTTTTATTGTTGATATACTTACAACGAATCTACTTTATCTCTTACGAAATGTCTATCGTGTTGGTATAATGGTATTTTTTTGTCTATGGGTGTATGTTTACGTCCAGAATTTCATAATGCTCAATTTTCATACGTCTACACATTCCATCATTCATAAAAAATCAATTTATCATATCTACCACGCCTATTGGATAACTTTACTTATAAATGTAAAAAAAGAGTTTTGAAAACTCAATAGAGAAATCATTTAAATACTTAATATTTTAGATAATTTAATCATCATTGATTTTTGAACTTTTATCTTATAATATTTTTTGAATTTGATGATTAAATTATAATTTATAATTTACTAATTATAAAATTATGACATTTAAAAGTACTGTATAATCAATGTTTCTTTTAATATATAATATTTATTTTTTTTTTAAACCATCATATATTATTATTGAAATATACATCTGTGTTGATTCTGCTAAACAATATAATCGACTTTTCCATTAACAAACTTCGATTAATCATTTGTAAATGTCGTGAAAGTATATATAAGTAATACTGTTATACCTTATCAATAACACCAAGGAAGACAATATGTTTTCTTATATTACTATTGTCGTACATGATTTGATGAGGGTCAACTGTCATAAAGGTAGTGAAGCCTCTAGTTAAAAGCTTTAGCACCGAAACTTACAACATTAATCACACGAATATTGGCCTTAACCACTAATGTATCTGATCATGGTCTGTTCACTAGAATACAAGATGGTTTCTGTAATAGGAACTGACTTCACACTAATGAACTGTCTTTGTGAGATACTCGGTTTAAACTAATAAGAAACAATCCTCTTGATGTTTGAATTTTTTGTTACTTCAAAAATTTCACTTAAGCTTGTACTTCAAAGATATTCATAACTGTTATCTTCAACTGTTTTTCGGTTAACAAAGAAGATGCTGTAATACATTATTTTCATTTGATAAATTAAAATAAAATTTATCAATATTATTATTTATAAAAACTAAGTGGCATTAGAAGTTAACTATTATTCAAAATTTAGTCTCATACTATTCTTTAATTCATATTATAATTACTATTTATAGTAAATAAGTATAACATATTGCATATTATGATTTTTCTATCTTTTTAAGTGTATATATTATAAAATATTTTATTTTTTCGCAATCTTGTTTTCAATTATGGTGTAAAAATGTAAAATAAACACAATGTAATACAATTTTATTATATAAGCTTTACAATCTAATACCATTTGTCGTTTAAAAGATTACAGTGAAATATACATTTACAGTTAACATTTTTAAAGCGCATTTTTTATTGCAAAAAAATTTTATTAAAAATTATTACCGTTTGAATTGTGTTTATAAATTAAATACGTGTTAACTCATATTATTAAATATGAGACATGGGTCTGAAAGGGTTAATTTTAAGGCAACAAGAGTTATTTAGCAATAGCTCAAGCTACAAAAAGGTAGTCAATTAACGAAATTAATAGAAGTTAAATTAGTATATTAACTTTAAGTTTGACTATAGTCAACCAATAAAAAGCCTTATCATGTTGAATATTATTTAAAAAATTAGCATCAAACTTAAGTTGAGATTGACCATTGACCAGAAATATCATAGATATACAGAATGGATACTGATAAAAATGTATACAACCAATACAGGGAGATGATTTAATCAGTCGGAAATTGTATAAATAAATCAATGTGTTCTAGTTGCTAAATTTTAACAATGTTAATCTATTCCAAAATTGAAATATAAAAATTTTTTTTACAGTTTTAATAATTTATTCAATAGTTGATAGGTATATTGAAGTATTGGGTACATTTAAATAATATTAATTTAGTATAACTTCACATTTTTATAAAATAAATAATTTTAACATTTAAATATAATTTAGATAAATTCGATTTAAGGAGTATAGTACGGGATAACAAGAAAATACAAAATAATAAATGTCTTGAATATGACTTTCTGACTTATAGATATTTCCAAGTGACTGAAATTTGTAATGGAAATTTTGTTTTAACTTTAATTAGGGTATTAGTATACAAGAGCGAAAAATATTGAATGAGTAGTTGTTAGGTGACAGTAACCACCAGAGGTTGTCACTCTGTAATGAAATTGTTACTTTTAGTTTTATTGTATTTTATGTTAGAATACATTTTAATAGATGTGTTTTAATTGTGCTGTTTTACACTTTATTTAATCTTCATTGTATTTGTTTAAGAATACAAATCGTTTTATTATTTTAAAAATTAATCTTTTATTATGTTTGTAGGACTACCAAGATATAGGAGACGTATTATAAGAACATAGAATTCTTATATTCTGGTGAAATCGACTCCTTATTTTTTCTTTATATAAACCAACCAACTTGCCATAAGTAAATATCTGGAGATTTCTGTGATTGACTAGTAGAACATAACTTCTTAGCTCTGTTCTTGGTAGTATTAGCGGTTACAACCTTTATAGTAATACCAAAAAAGTTGGTTTTTAGTAATAAAAACCTGTTGGTCCAACAGGTCATCTTTACTTTGCGCTTGGGCTGTCCTTTCTTAATCTAACACCAAGAAGAAATAATTTAAGATCACAACGTTTTTCGACTCTATCAAAAAGTATTTTTTTTAATTTAATTAAATTCTATATACATGGAAGTTATATTACAGAGGTTAAACTTTTCTATCCTCTCTTGGAAAATATTTAATTATAAATTAATCAAATATAGAGTTGTCACTTCTAAATCAATAATAATTTTTAATATTTCTTTTGTTTATTCTAATAGCATTTATTTTTTATTTATAAATAGTTAAATACTATTTAGAATTACGATTATTCCTTATAAGAGTATTAACTTATTGTTTTTAATGGTAATATACATTATTAATTAGTTTTTTATTAGAGTGGCGAAAAAAATTGATATAAATAACATAACCTGTACTTTACTTAGTCTCCATGTATATATATTAATAACTTCCGAAGAACTAGTTTAAAAGCTGTCATCGATTATTCATTATTTAGTTTGACAATTTTATAACACTGAATCAATTAAAATTATTAAAATATATATGTTTCCATAAAACATAAAGTTAATACCCATATATAGTCAGAGAGATAGACAAAAAAGTACTTGATAATTGATAAATTAAGAAATATGTAATATTAAAAAGAGTTATTTTTAATTATTATTGTAGGAAAATTTTAGTTGTCAAATCAATCAACATGTATATATTTAACTATTTGGAATTATAGAAGTGATATTTATAATTATATTAGAGTATGGTAAAATGTGCATGATCAGTTAATATGCTAAAGTTAATAAAAATTGAGAGAAATCTTATTTATAGGTATCATTTTGATCATACTCGTAAAGAGACATTAAAATGTAGGAAAATCGACATAATAATTATAACTTATAATTTATGAAACTATTAATTTGTTATAAAAAGATTACTAAAAATAGTGCACACAAAATACTAGGCAATGCAGTTTTGTAGTTCAGGATTTCTAAAAAAAACTATTATATCTAAACATTCCACTCTCATATGGGAATACATTTGATGATAAAGATGTTAGAAATTCTTGTTTCTCTAAACGACTATTTATGTTTTAAGACATCTATTTACTATATTATGGTAATTTATGGCCTATATACGTCAACAACAACCTGTTAGATTATTCCGGTACATGTATTTTGAAACAGATGGATTCTCAAACTATTTAATAAAATTATCTCATGGATCAAAATAAAATAATAATACTGTCTTACAGTAGATATGCCAAATAAGGCGTAAACAATTTTTTTCAATCACACTATTTGCACTATTTTATTGTATGTGCAGTAGGTAAACTAAATTTAATGAATATTATTATTAAAATATGTAATCCTTTTCCTAGGGTACCCATTAATGTATATAAGTAATCAAAATAATTATTTATAAGTTGTTTGTCACTCAAATATAAAACTAAACAGTTACATTAAAAAGTTCTAATTACTGCAGTATATAATTAAAATAGCAACTAACAATTAATTGTTTATCGTAAAAATTGCGGCTATCCGTTAAAAAACGTATAAACAAGAGACACGTCATGTCAAAATGTTATATGCTCTAAATAAATCAATCCGCTTATTCGTGATGGAAAGTTAGTTTAGGTGTATTTGAACATTTTCAATTAATATCAATTTAATTAATCAAAATACACTTGAGCACATGAACTAATAAAATAACCTCGCCAAAAATGAAAAAAAATAGGCTTTAAAAAGAAATATACAATGTTGATATAATTCACCAATTGTAAGTTGAACAGCATAAGATTTTAATTTTTTAGCTTGAAATACTTCAAAACTTAAAAGACAGAACTTCATAACACCAAATAAAATATAACACTATACCATCAGGAAATTTTATATAAAAGTATCCAATCTTAAAACCCTTATAAATACAATCAGCATTAAAATTTTAATTAAAAATTATTAGAAAAAAAAATGTGTTCGAGGAACCTTGTTTGTTAATAAAAAAACGTTTTGTTCAATGTTACGCAATTGAGTTCTTTACTTTAAGTTAGAAAAAAATATGAAACTGTTTAAATTATAAAGAATTCAAAAAACAATAAATAAATAAAAAATGTTACCGTTGTTTTACTCAAAATTCAAGCCAACAAAATATGACGCAAGTTTTATATATTAGACAGATGTTTCAATAAATGTTTTACGAAGGAATTCATAAATAATTTATTTTACTACAATATTTCAAGAAAAAAAAACACCCCATTATCGACTAGGTAAACTTCAAGAAATGAATTCAACCATTGTGAAACACGATATTTTTTTTATATATATACTTATGCGTAGTATCAATTTTTATACAAATAAAAAATTTGAAATGTTTTACTTCTCATGTAATAGTATGAATACTTGAAAAACACCTACGGCTGCTTAAAAATATTATCTTTAATTATTCGTTTTGAAAGTTTCAGAATACTTCTATTATAAATAGTTATTTTATTGATTAATGAAATTATTGAATTACAAATTGTCAACAGTCGTGCAATAAAATTAATATAACACAAGTGGCACTCACTTATACAAATCGTTAGGAAAGTCGTTGCCTTTCAATATTTCAACACACGAGTCTGATACTTTAGTCGTTTTAGGTGTCCAATCTTTGCACCTTGTCGCCATTGCGTCTTTGATGCAATCGGAAAACACTCGAACGGCTGCTCTGACGGTGTGTTTTTCCGTTTCCAATGGCACTGGCCTCAACGACAACATGCCCACTGGTACACTACCCTTTTTTTTAACAATAGAATTATTTACTTTTCCCACATCCAGCCACAACCAAGCAATGTTTCCGGCCGGAAGTAAACCAAGTAAAGTGGCCTGTCGCCAAACAGTTTGCGCTGTTTGCCGATCACCGACCACAACCACTACGGATGCTTCAGAAGTGGACAGCTCTACCATTGACCTGAAATTATGTAATGATCAATCACACAATAAAATTTATATTATTTTTTAGATTTATAAAACAACAATGGGTTTCGATTTTAATTAGTATATATTTTCTGAAAAAATAGATTATTTTCGCCTTCGTAATAAAATTATTGAAATCGTTTACTTAACATTTTATGGAATGAAGAATAGAGTAAATGTTTGGAAGACTTTATCGTCATAAGTAATATAAATCATATATCAATTCAAAAACGTTAATAAATATTTGAAAAATTGACTTTGAAAATGCATTTTAGAAACGTATTTTACAAATTTCGACACAAGCGTGTTTTTGCCGTGGAATCAAAGTTTTTATATTTGTGTATGCATATATTTAAATTTTCTCAATTTGTATGTACATAAAAAAGTGCTATCAACTAAAATACTAATCATTGTATTACCTAAATAAAGTTTTATCTGAAGAGTACGTTGAAATAGGTATAGACGTGTAACTTAAAGGCGACTCGCTAAGCATGTTTTGAACTTCCGAAGTGATCATCATTGAATGTAAAATGTAAAACTTGTGCCAGTCTGCGTGCAACAAAAATGATCTCAGTGCTGAAAAAAGTTCCCATGGTGTAATAGCTACGCGGACTACTAACTCACTCCAACGCTCCTATTTAAATAAAATGAATTACAGTTGTAATCAGTGCAAATAATCAAAAGGTTACTATTAAAAATGTTTTTATTTTTAGTGTATTTGCGTTTACAATCATGATTTTAATAATGAATTTTAAAACGGTTTACATTACTTTTGCAACGTTTTTCATTTTTGATTAGCATTCTATAGATTCTATTAAAAACATTAAAGACACATGGGGAATACTTTTAAAACATAGTTCCGAATAAAAACTAAATTTTAGTACTCATGAGAATCATCATGAATATTTCGATTATTGTTTTGAATAATGTTGTTGAAAAACGCTAACCAAGTGCTGAGGCGCTATTCTGTTGTCTAATAAATGACATATTGTTGCGGTGAGTTTAAGACGGTATGTTTTGTGCACTATTGATACAACCAGCATGTCATGTGTGACTATTGAAGTGCATGGCTTATAGTTGTAATTGCTCTTGCGAAGTAACTTGGCTGCGACCGCACATTAGATACGATCAAATTATGTCATAACATCATCGTAACGTTGGACTGCTGGACGTCTACTTGAGACATCGAACATATCACAACACAATTTCTCGACAGCACATTCGACCGATTGGTACCCAACACAGTCTCGGTGTTGGAAGATGAAGTCTTCCAAAATTTACAGTACTTAATAAACCGACTCGACATAAGTTTATATAAATTGAATTACAAGAGAAAAAAATAATAATAATAATTTTAAATGGAAATGGAAAGCCTAGTGGAAAATAAATATACAACATGATCACGACATTTTTCTTATAAATCTCTGGCACAGGATTTTGTTTTTTTTTTTTTGGCAAAATATCGACGCCGGTCTAAAATATTTATTAAGTCAACTCGTTGCGTGACACCACATGAATTCCTGATACAAAATTTTTATCCTACAAATTTTTTAGCAAAACGGTACGGACGCATGATTTGTGTATTGTTATAAAAATATGTCGCACACAATGGCGCGTCTATTGTTTGAGGTTAACCTTCCTATAAGCAAAATAATTACAAGTTCAAGAAAAAATTTAGCGGGAGTAGTCAACATTTACCTTATGTGTGTGCTCTGTACATGAAAAATACTGAAAACATCATCGCAAAAACATTAAGTCTAACATACTCTATACACTGTAAAAATTGTTTAATTAGTATAAGATGATTTTTAATTTAATTTTTTATAACACATAACATATTATAACACATTTTTTTGTGTTCGCATTTCCGCTAAATTCGTTTCAACTTTTTTGTGCAATCTATAACTTAAAAGATACACTAGACAAAAGATGAAAATTGAAATTAAGAATAGATTTACATAAAAGAATTCTCAAATTTAATGAGGAGCTACGGTCATTTTGCTTATGATTAGATAAATAAAACATAGGAATACTTTTAAAATTTTAGAATAAATATGAAAATTCAGCTTACTTAAAATAACGGGAATGTCTACTTTATTATCCATAAAAAAATGCATTTAAATAACAACGTTATATTATCTTTACAAGAAAAATCAATTTTTGGATAATTATATTTTTCTTAGTTTTTAATAGCAATTTTTTCCACCGAGAAATATTTTCGATAAAATTACACATGTTCGTGATATGAGAAATAAACATTAATATTTGATATCACGCTCACAGTATAAAATTTAATGGATCCTTTTTTATTTTAACCCGTGATAACATGTGGCTTAAGGTCACGTTTAGTCATAAAGATTTTATATGCAGTTATAATGCTTTCATACCATATCATATTTTGTAAAAACAATTTATTTTAAAATTATTTTTTCTAAAAAGTATTGTCTATAATCTTTGAATAATGTCATACAAAATAAAAACTGTATGCCGTAATTTTTGATTAAGTAATAAATGAAAAAATTATTTTCAAAGTTTAACGAAAATATAATGGGAATTAAAAGAGTTGCATCTGTCTCGGAAAAGAGTACTAAAACTCATCATACATAAACTGAATTAAATTAAACAAGTAAAAAAAAAATTTTATTTGATACATATGTTTTTTTATATTCGCATACAGTTTGTAATTTTATAGAATGTTTTTCATTTATGCACATTTTGATCATTTATAATTATATGGTCATAGACTCAACTAGAATACAATTTTTAAGTGTTCTAATTGTATTTTTTACTCGGCCTGAAATATACTTCATACGGCAAATGCATAATTTTCTTTTATGGGAGAAGGCCTAAGTCTCTCTAATCCCTTTAGTTTTATACGTGGTATTTATTTAGGTAAATAAAATATTCATTTGACTTGACATTCTCTCAAATGAGACCATTGATAGTGCGTTATTACGTAGTGATGTCGATATTATGTCTCCAACCAGTGTCATAAGAATTAATACTCATAAAGATGATGTTATGATACATTAATCTCTCAATACGATTCTTATCTATTAAGCGATAAAATATAATATCATTGTAATTATCATTTGTATAATTAAAATAATAGTATGAAGAATATAAAAATTACCAATTAGGCTTAAATATCTCTCAGTATACACTGACAACATATTAACGCGTATACTCTAGGAACACATTGATATCACTTATTTATAAGTAACAAGTGAACAGTCGTACTCAAATTTCATTAAAATAAACAAGATGACACATATTAATTTTTAAACGCTCACTGGAAAGATCAAGGAAGATACACTAGTATTAATTAAAATAATAAGGTCTAAAATTAATAATTTCTTGGAGTACACAGTTTAAGTAAGGACAAAAAAAAATTAAGTGATCTCTAAAGAATAAAATATAAATTAAAGTAAATCAGTAAGGTTCGTTCGAAGCTAATTAGCAGAGTTAGATTATTGATACGTGTCTACACTAGAAGCCAAGTTGGAGGTTCATATATAGCTATTCTAGGTAGAAACATAAGATGATTCCATTCCACCAATCATTGATAATCACAACTATTTTTTTCTTTCCTTTGGAGTAACTATAATGGTGTCAGCAAATGTTTAAAGAATAAAGTTTTTAAGATAAATCGTTACACTCCGCTAGCAAATAAAATGAAACATTTGTTTTAAGTTAAATCGCCCGATATTACTAACAGGAACGAGTGGATTCATCTATGCGACATCTGACAAGCAGTTACTTTTGAGCTGTGATGACTACAAGTTGAAAAAGGATATGAAATTAGCTACCAGATTTTCAGTTAAGTGAAACAAACTAATGTTGCCAATGATGATGGAAATAGTAAAAATAAAAAGTGTTCTTCATTGTGCTTCGTGAAACGAATCTTTAAATGGCCCCAATGCTGAAATATTAAAATCCGTTAAGACCATCTCTCAAGAGAATTACCGAAAAATGTCTGAATTAACAAGTACTAAATTCAATGTATACAGTTACTTATGCTAACAACTCGACTGTCCGCTTTTGGAACTGTAGTACTGCAAGCTGTGCTTTTATTCGGAATCCATCAACGGACATGGATATTGAAAAACGTATTTTTCAAGGTGACTGAACGTGTAAACCGAATGATTTTCATCTAATCCAAATTACCTTTTGATACATTATGTTAAGAAACTGCTTTATTCATATAGTTTCAGTTTAATAGCAACATTAGCAAGTTTATTTGAAAACTTCACTGACAAATATTTTTACTAAAACTAACCCTTATATTTGGCCATCATTAGCAAGATGATGATTTTTGAAAAACTCTCAAAAGATATTGTACAAAATTAATCTTATCGAACATTTCAACTTGCATTCCACTATACAGACCAATCCGATGGTCTTCGATAGAACACCGATCTAACCGCAATTTCAAATCGATAACGGCCAGTCTTTTTAAGAGGGGCCAATACCGATAAACAATTCGAGTTTAATTATATTTATTCTCTTTTGTCGCCTTATCTAGAGTTGTTGACACCGCTGTGTATAGAAAAACGTTCATTCGCTCATTTTCTTGCGCGATAAAAAAATAAGTAGACATAACAAAAAAATTATAAACGGTCTACCTTTGAATTTGTGACGTTTTAAGCCATTAAATTTTTTACGAATGGCTAGTTACACAGATTATTAGTAATCGACTATTTTCCCGAAGATATCAATCACTTTAAGTCATGTCACGTATGCTGCAAACAATGTTCACGTTAAATTTATCACTTACATTAGGAGCCTTTTTGAGTTAAAAATTGTTCAGATTTAAATTAATAACGTTTTTAATAGAGTTTTAATTTTAAATATAAAATAACAGTTTGTCAACAATATTAATTCGATTAAAAATATAACATTATGAAATAAATATATATATATATCTACGTATACAAAGCGGTTCATTATATTGTGAAGAAAATAACCGACGCAATATTTTTACATTAGTTGTAATTATTGTAAATAGCAATAAGTATAATCTCTCCATAAGTAGAAATCAATTAATACGGAGTATAAATAAGATAATTTCGCATCTAGACACGCCTTATTGTTAATGATGTATAATTTTTTTTCTTCTCGTGAAATCCAAAATAAAAGTCTACAGATTGGTTGAACTGTTGATTAGTTGTGTTGAACAACAATAGACGCATTTTAAATTTTAAGTTCTTTTGAGGTGAATATCTGAACAAGTAGAAGACAAACAAATAATAGTAGCTAATTAGTTAAGTTTTCCGTGTACTCGTGTCTCCATTTAGATTAGATGTACTTGAATTAATATTATTATGCGTTTTCCCGCATTTCACACTAAGTTTTACTCGTATTCAAACGATGGCCGCTATACTTATACAAAGTTCTCACCCGAAATGTTCGACTGTGTCGAAAAATGTTAGCACACGAATTTTGCGGTACTTTCTTCCGTATTTACGAATTATTTTAAATAATCGCTGTCTCTTGGATCGAATAAACGACTAGTTGTTTATCACGACCAAACCGTAACGTCTTTTTAGTGTTTTTTTTTATGTCGAGGAAGTTCCACCGAAATATAAACCATTTTGCGTATACTCAGTAATAGTCTAAAAATTAACCAGATGTTGTTTAATATTACCAAAGTTTTAAGCCTATTAACATTGTGGTTTTGATTTATTAAAGGAAAACTTGGTACATTTTAAGTTTTCAATGATTCGTTCAGCAGCCATACAGCGTTCTACATACAGCATAAAAACTGTTCTTATTCTGCTCATTACTATTAGTTTTCTTAAATACATAATCATTAAAAGAATTGTACTTAACAAAATGAAAAACTACAATTCATAAATACTTGCAGTTACCACACTGATTTCTATAGTTCGTGCACATGTAATATTTTTCTTTATGTGAGGTTAAAGTCACTTAGGTATAAATCAAGTTCAAGTAATGTGAAAGAACTGCACGATATTTCAAACGCCTTATGTATGTTTGTAAATTATTGAACAAACCATTTTGATGTGTGTAATAGCATCGATGCCAAATTTGAAAATTTATTGCATATGTTTCATACAGAATCACAAGTACTGCAGTATCTTAAGGCTAATACGTGGTGCTTTGGAACATTAAAATAATACTCAATGTTCAGGTTACATAGAGAGGTTAATCATTGCCATTATAGTTGTATTCAAACCATGTACCACTTAAATGTAATCAAAACTCAAAAGTAGTGATTTAATTTTATTGTGTTCCTTGTGTGATGAGTATCTTCAAACTTATCTACAAGGCTAATCCATTATTTTCACGAGATTGCAATTTACTAAACATGATTATCGTCGGTATTAACAGACATTATTTTAACTTGTGTAGTTATTGCGCATTGTTTGCCAACTATAACGTTGGTAAAAAACTACTTGGTGTTTGGTACAGACACGCAGAATACAAGCTAACAATAAAAATGTATACTAATATTACTGCACAATGTTATGCAATGCGTCATGCGTTGCTTCATTATTATTCAATTTTCTTCATTTATTTTAATTTGTTCATCAGTACTGTCCTACTATATTAGTTGTTTTCATTTGACGTTACAGTTCTTCGACGGGGAGCATTCAATCTGATGAGTTAATCTACCGGTAACCGCGTTTGTTCATTACAACAGCCGTTGGCAAGTTTCGCGTTACATNTAATCTACCGGTAACCGCGTTTGTTCATTACAACAGCCGTTGGCAAGTTTCGCGTTACATTTACCATTCGGTTTTGAACCTTATTAACGTGCTGCAATCAGCTTATACACCAAAAAAACACTACAATACAAATGGAATACCTTCAGATTTTCAATAGTAACATGTTTTATAAAGAACAATTCGTTGATCATTTTATGATAGATGATTGTGGAGAAAAATGTGTTTCTCCAATACATTGTGTTCACTTTACCGTACACACCAATATAATGAACACAAAAGTTTCACATTCTTTTTCGAGTATTTTTGACGTATTTTGTACTTTTCAAGTTTAGCTTTATACATCATAACGATATATTGCCATTTATATTATTGTGCATTTTTACGAACTATTAAACGATCAAATTTATATATTTCCAACATTTTTTATGTGTTTTTAATTTTTAATATTATTATGATTTTCTATTTAATTTCCAACGTTCCAATACAACAAGTTTTACGCTCACAGTGTAGATCTAATAAGAATAAAGCCACCAAGTATTAACTTTAAGAAACTTTAATGCTGAAAAGCAATATACCATATTTTATATATGTATGAATAGACCATGTACATAGTGTATTCAAAGGAAAATTATGTCAAGCCGACGTTAACTTGATATAATTTCCCTTTTTCGCCTGATATTCCGTTGTAAAGATTTTTGTGTAGTATACAGGATGAGTGCCGAAGATATGACCCATCCAACTATCATTTCGTTGAAATTATTTTAATAATTATTGCTTTATTAAACAAAGTTCAAAGCATGTTTTTTATTATTTATTACTAAAACTACAAAAATAAAATGACATTTTTTTCAACATTTTAAAATAACTAGTCACCTCTTAGCCTTTTATAAAAAGTTATACCGATAACAATTTTAAAATAATTGCTCATCAAGTTACAAGCATTTTAAAATATTAAGTAGGTATAGAACGCAGGTGGAGTATACGTACACGGTATGAGCTGCACCCACCCGCAATTCAAGTTATCGACCTACAACACTTTTTTTTATTAAGAAAAGCCTAAAAACGACTCTGTATTTCAAAATTAAAAATAACGATTTTTTTTTTTTACATTAGTGATGATTAGTACGAAATATGCTTTGAATCTAGTAATTCTTCTTTTTCTTCCTTGCCTTAATCCCAACTACTTGGGATCGGCCACCCAATCATCCTAAACTTCCACTTGACACGATCTCCCACATCATCTACGCTCACATCAGTTGTCCTCAAATCGCATTCAAAAGCTTCCCTCCATTTCTTTTTTGGTCTTCCTCTACCTCTTCTTCCTTGAACATTAATTTCTATAACTGTTCTTACAGCTTCCGATTCTTCTCTCCTCATAACACGACCAAACCATCTAAGTCTATTTTCTCTCATCTTATCCACTCCCTCTTATATGTTCGTTCCTTATTCTATCTTTTCTAGTCACTCCACTCATCCATCTAAGCATTCTCATCTCTGCTACACTCATTCTCTGCTCTACTTTCTTATCAACAGCCCAACACTCTGAACCATACATCATATCTGTCCTCACAACAGTCTTGTAGAATTTACATTTCAGCCTCTTTGGAATACTTATTATCGCATAAGACGCCAGACGATAACTTTGAACCTAGTAAATATTGAACAAAAAAATGTCAACGAAATGATGATTTAATTTGTCATATCTTCATGACTCACTTAATACTTCAAAAATCACATGGCAAGAGACTTATAATAAATGAACATTTAAAAATTTAGTAGTTTTAAATTTTTACTAAAATAAAATTGAAAGATTACAGCGAGTATCATATTGAATCAGTATAACTGATTAATAACGTATTTTTTTATTGATTTTAAGTACTCGAAATTTAATCGAAATCAGAACCTTTATTATCCAATCACATTTAATGTGCTTCTATATAATACAATACCTGATCCACCCGCGTTGATGCCGGTAACCATAACACAGGTATTCGTAACTTGGAAGCAGTTAGAGCCGGTAATAATCCAACAGGCTCGGGTATCAGTAATAGACATGCAATAATAGTTTTGTTTGCCCACAAATCCAACACGGCTTCCAGCGCGCCCATACTGAATTTGTTAGCAGGAAGTTCAGCGTAAAGAGCCCTCACAGACGGTGGCATTGCTCTGTCCATAGTTCTGGACAACAGCGATCCTTGGTTGTGACCGTGGATAACCGACACGTATACTGGATTACTGCAAATATTCAAATAAAAGAACAATAAAAAATACACTTTTTTGTTATACTTTTAAACATAGTGAATAATACAAACCTATTTGAAAGAACAAACGGTAACAATGTTAATGTTGCAAAGACAACAAACGTGGGCTTCATTTTTCTGTTAACAAAAATATAAATCATTTCAAAATACCGTCTAAATTTTGTTTTTCAACTAAAATTAACCGTATGAAATTTAAAAATTTTTTAATTTTTTATATCATTTGTTATTAAGGACACGAAATTTCTTTAAAACTACTTTTATTTAATGATAAGAAAGTAACTGAAATTAATCGACTTATAATTCAAATTTATACATTAATGTTTTAACTGTACATTGTAATATTAAATAGCATAAAACTTGATAAACATCGAATTATTATTGTCCTTATTTTAATTATAATTACAATAATAATAAGCGATTATAATGATTATTATTATAATAAAACAAAAAAACTATGCAAATCATTTTTTTATTTCACTCGATAGTTAATTTAAATACAATGTATTATTTTATTGTTGTTTACATTTTATTCAAATTCATATTTTTTATGGTTTTAATATCTATAAGATAAACAATTTTTAACACAACCTTTCGAATAAATCATAATCAAAGAAACAGTCACTTTTTGTTTTTGAATTTTATTTTTACTTTAAAATTTTTTTTATTACTCGTAGTTGTTGCAAACCCTTTTAATATAATATTTAAGAAATTTTCACAAAATAATACTAATAATTATTTAATTGTTAATGTTATTGATTCTTAACTATTTATAGTATCTTTATCTGTATTTTCAAATTCTTTACATTCAATTCCTTACATTATATACTAAGTTCAAACTTAGTTTTGAATGAAAATTACAGAATATAATAAGTTCAGAAGTCCAATCTGAAAACTTTCTAAATTTCCGACTTTTAAACACATTTTAAACAATTAACACTATCTCCATATTAAAATTAAAAATAGTTTAGAGAATTCATATCTATAGAAACTCAAATAAATGAATCAGAATTGATACTTAAAATCTTAGCCAATATTGACTGTTAACATTATAACAGTATAATAAAATAATAGAATAATTTTTTATAAATTAAAGATTTCAATTCAAACTGTTAGGATTATATTTGATGGACATGATGAAAGATTTCATTCAACAATGTACTAGTAACTAAAAAACGAAATTAAGATAAGGTGCTTTAAATTTAAGTTTTAATTTAAATATTAATTTATTAAAATTACGTTTATTTATTAATTATTAAATCTAAAACAATAGACGTACTTCATGTTAAACTGATAGTTGATTAATTAAAAAAACTACTCGATTTCAATTTTATAGTTCCTAACAGTTAATACAGCTTTACAATATAAAATTAATCTGTTTTTGTTTCATTCCCATGGGTACCTTTCAACGAACAATAAAAGCGTATTGATTGTATTAAAAGTATAATTTTTTTGTGTATAAATAAAAACGGATAGCGTAGATATTCAACACAATATATTCCAATCAACCGTTGAATCTAAATATTATGAAATGCACATCAGAATTTAAATTATAAACAGTGAAAGTATTTGTTTCTCATACCGTAGTTCAATTTATAAAGATAAAATGTTCACAACAGCTTTATATATTCAATTAATGAACAATAACACTTCATTTATTGAATAAATAAAAGTATCTACTACAATAACAAATTATAAATGGTTTCAAATCTTCATGATTTTCATATAATGTAAGTACAACAACATTGCTATAGAGTGATCGAAAGAAAACTTAAGCCAGTCTTTATTCTTTACAATAAATCTGAGATAACGGAATAAAAATCTATAGTAAAACAAAACTAATTATAGATAAAAAATGGTTAAGATATCCCGTGGGAGTCGGGAAGAAAATCGTAGAAATTCTTTTTATATCTGTAAGCAACATACATAAAAGCAAAATACTTGAAACTAGTTAAAGATTTTTAGTTAAAAGTTTTACTCCCGAAAATCAATAGTCACTGACTTTAAAACATTATTAAGGTACAAAAATCTAGAAAAAATAACGTATGTGTACTTTTTTTAAACGTTTTTTCATTTCTAACCATAAAATTGGCGTCATATTTCATACTATTTGCGAAAGCGTCGAAATCTTTGTGATGAATCTGACACATAAAGTCATAAAATATCATCACATACACACTTTTGACATTCAACATGTAAACAAATAATGTTTCTATTGAAGTAACCTAATGTTTTCTGTATTTTAATTAAAAAATAATAATACACACTATAATTACTCTTTGATTGATGAATAATTTTAGTGTAACTATTGACTCTAAACTAAATTTTAATTCTTATGAAAATATTATTTTTTAATAATTTGTTAACTATATTAGGTTATTTTTAAAAATTCTTGTAAAGATTTCCGTTTAAAATTACTATTTTAAATTATTACTTAAGTATTAGTATGTGCTATACTACAATATACTCTTTTTTAATCTGGATAATCGCTTCAATAACCAATTATAATCGCTATCAAAAGTTCTAAATAATTGTTTAAGTTTTTTTGTGTTTTCAATGTAAAGTGCATATAATAACTCATCTTAGTCATAACCATAGTCATGGATTCTTCTACAGATACTAAATATCAATTATCTATATAAAAATTATCTAATAGGAATATTTATTATTAAAGATAAAAATTATTTTTTTTACACGAATTATTGAATAGTTATACAGACTGTTCTGAACTTATTGAGTGTTATACACAAATAGTACATTAAAAAAAAATTTTAGTAATAATAACTAGGCATTGTAATTTTTTTTAACATTCTTCCGATAAGGCCATTACTCATAGTTTAAAATTTGCTGTATTTTATTTATTTTAGATTAAAAAAAACACATAATTTAGTTTAAACTAATATAAAAAAAAACAAATCTGTAATTTTAGTCAAATTAGGTAAAAAAATAATTGTTGAATATTGAATTTATAAAATTCACTTTATTTGTTTTAAACAAATATTAATTCATGATCAGATAGTATTTACTTTTGATGGTCATCTAAAAGCAATTCATACAATATCACTATCATATTGTAGTTATACATTTTTATTTTTAACATTTCTCGTAGTTGTTAGCTACACAATATACGAGTTTCGATAATCTTTTCATTACCACAGGATATCTTTTAATCCATACGTTCATTATATTCAGTTAATATACGTATAAAATATTTGATATCAACTTAACAAAAACAACATCCCTTAAATGATAAATTGTAACATAAAACATTCGAACAACACAAGTTTTATTTGCAAAATTTACTTAGTATGATATTATTTGAAAATTTGATAAGAGTTACGGTAAAAATAGATTTAATAGTTACTAAAAGTTTTAACATAGAACTTTTGGTGTAAGTGACTTTAAAAACTTTTGGCAAAACATTTAAATGCTCACGATACCACATTATAAATTAAAACGTCATGATGTGGTTGGAAATGTGCTGTAAGTGTACACACTGTTAGTCGTACACCAAAAAACAACTCGGTGTAGTACAAGATTTTATGTAAGTTGTTTATTTTGCTATGGCCGTGAGATGCCAGATGTTTTTGAGATAGCAATATAAAGGATAATTTAAGTATGAAGTCTATAATTTCAATATACTCTGTAATGATCGTTATAAACTTTGTCATTACTCACTACAAAACGAATCAAAGGCAACCGATCGTTTCATAAATTTTGCGTGGTCGTTATATATTTATTAGACTACTGGCTTCATTATTCAAGAACTTCTGAAAGGTTTAAATTGTTTGCTCTATAATTCAAAGAAAAACCGAGTGTCCAGCGGGAAATTTGTCGTGGTTTTGAGGCTGTCTACAAATATATGCACAAAGTTTAAATAATATGAAAATTCACATTTTCATTCAAGTCCGAACATTTTTCTATGATAAAGATAATGGATAAATTATTATTTTTTATTCTAAATAATAATGTTTATCACATAAAAATATATAGTTAAATGAAAACGAAAATTATCAGTGTTTCTTTAGCATGTAATTTTGTTTTAGTTTAAACGCATTGTTGAGGTGGACGTCACATGTCTAAAAAATTAATTTTTTAGTATTATATTTTTCGGGTCGTTAGTCACTAGAACTACCATTTCCGAATTTGAAATGGTGATTTGTATGAAATGTACACCATAGTTGTATATTCCTACAAATCCACATACATTAATAATATATAAGTGGACATTTACTGAAATAAAAAGCTTTCAAAAGAGCACAACAAAAAATGAATTTTACACCAAACTAGAAACAATAGATTGTTTTTAATTAAATATTAAACTTGATCTTCGTCATATCTATAGTTTTCTAAAAACTGTTTAATTACCTTTTATTGAGTTATTTTTTGTTCATCTACAACAAATAATAACACATATTTAATTAAAAAATAATACTTTCTTCAATTCATATCAAAATTAACATAATTTTTTTTCTAAAGAGATTACAAAAAATGATAAAAATCATCAACTACTAAGTATACCAAGTATCCGTGAATTACATATTTAAATAAAATTAATTTTATAGTTTTTATGATGAATAAATACTGAAATTAAATAGCAACTATTTTTAACATTTTTAAAAAAAGTTAACGAATCAATAGTTAAAGGTAATCCGTTATTTTTTTAAATAAATTAAGTTAAATGTTAAGTTGACAATGTCTCTTTAAGAACCCCTTATACTTTGGTGTTACTCCCTTAAAATTCCTATAACAATAGCTTTTCGACACTTTCGATAGAACTAAAATGTCAGCCGTGACACTGTAACTACTAACAATTCATTAGATTATATTCTTTGTTTCTCTAATTTCGTCTTATGACACTTTGTAATTTTAAAATAAGCCTTTACGTTTGTATAAATAAAATAAAAATATTTTTAGCTAATATTAATTCATTTTTTATGACATTTTTTCACAAAATTACACATAGATTTCATTTCAACTTATTATATGTAATCTGTTATATTAATTTTTGTAATATTAATACCATTTAAAATTTTCTGTGCGTAATCTTTTGTGTAAGCATTTAACCATTTGCGTAATTAAGTTATGTACATTTTAAATAAAAGCACGTTATTTCATTA